GTCTAACAAGGTTGAGCAACCAATCACGCCTTCGTCGTAACGACTTACCCACCCAGCGAACGACCTGAGGGACGCGCAACCAGAATGCAGTCTTAGTATACTGTTAGTTAAATTTTAATGTTAAGATTCGCCAACTTATTGTTAGTCTCAAAATTAAGAGTAGATTCAATAAATAAAAGCAAAGCTATAATAAGAATCTAGAAAAATTCTGGTTTCAGCAGGACGGGGCACCATGTCACACAGCAAACGAAACCATGGAGTTTTTGCAGCGAAATTCCCTGGATGCGTTGTGTCAAAAAGAGGCGATATCGACTGGCTTGACCCCGCCGGATTTCTTTTTGTGGGGTATACATAAGCAAGCCCTAGACCATCACAGAGCTCAAGGAGAGTATTCGCACCGAAATGGCCAATATATCGGCCGATTGCTCAAGAAAGTAATGGAAAATGCTCGAAAAAGGACATTTTTTGCCATCAAGAACAAAGGAAGTCACTTAGTCGATATTGTGTTCAAAAACTAACTCAAATGAATTGTAAAGGATCAATCTAAATAGAAGTAAAACATTTTCCATGAATTTTTGTTTTTTTTTTCCAAAGTTATTCAATATTTTCCTACCGAAGCTCGAGATGGCGCACCCTGTATCTTCTTTGCAAGCCCACGCTTCCCTTAGATATGTGTGCATGTATGTGCCTGTACACACATACATTCATAAATTAGCGAAAAATAACTAGTGCCGCAAAAATTTGGCGCAAGCCTTAAAATAAAGTAGCTATTGTTTGATTATGTTGTTTAATGAATATTTTAAATTACATACAGTTTAGTAACATCCTTTTTTTATTTATTGGTGTAATAGGAGCGTAACCGACAGAGGAAGTGGGAACGGAGTCAGGACCAAGACGTAAAAAAGAGCGATCGGTGGTTTGGGTTCCAGTTTTCGTTTCGTTCAATCTCTCTAATTTCGTTTGACGTCTCAAATTAAGAGAGCAACAAAGGCTTGCTCTCATACAATGTCATTTCATTTCCAGCATTCCACTCAATCCATTCTATTCGATTCGAATGTATTCACTTAGACGTATGTTATGAATGTAATCATGCAGACGTCTAATAGGAGGTCTACTCAGAGCATCGGCAACAACGTTTGCCTTGCCGGGTTTGCGGAGCAGTTCATGGTTGTACTCTTCTAGAATTGCTTTCCATCTCTTCATCTGATCGTTACGGCTTTTCGGGTTAGTTGGGTGTGTGAGAGATTCATGGTCTGTAAATATTTTCACTTTGGTTGGACCGAACAGAAAATTTCTAAGAGTCTGTATTGACCAAATTATAGCTAGCATTTCGTTTTTGTTAGGAGCATAACTTTCTTCTGCCTTACTTAAAGTCCTAGAAATATACATTATAGATTTGTCCTCTTGGACCAATACGGCACCAATAGCATAGTCCGAAGCATCGGTAGTTAACTGAAATTCTTTATTTTAGTTTGGGTATGATAACATTACCTCCTCGGAAGCGAGAGTTTGTTTTAATTTTCTAAATGCTTTCCTTGCGTCTTTATCAAGATCAATCAGAGTTTTGTTTGAGGCATTTTTTGAGATGCGGCCTCGGCCCTCTTCCCCTCTTAAAAGGGCTGTTAGGGGCTTCGTATTGGAAATGCAATTGGCACGGTATCGCATACCGAACTATTGATAGTAAAGTCTAATGTACCTTCTCTAACGATCGTACTGCCTCCTTCTTCTTCCTTTCACCTCTATAGCCAACGGATGTGTAAAGCTTAATCTCTGTATCAATTATCTCTGTAATAAAACTATTCTACTCAAGCTAAATTACAACAGGTTATGGGCCGCAGCACCCTTCCACTGCGCCAGAAAATAGTTAGCAGAAGATATTGAAGAACGAGTGAGATTAAATGGCAAATTTCAATTTGTGATGAAAAATTTGAGACTTCTGGAAATGAGACTGAAGGCGTCAAATTGGTGATAGAGAGAAGAACAGTGTTCGTTGCTTGTGTAGCTTCGTGAACCATTTGCTTGTGTAGCAAAAACCAAAAGGAAGAGTATTCGTTGCTTGTGTAGCTTCGTGAACTATTTGCTTGTGTAGCAAAAACCAAAAGGAAGAGTATTCGTTGCTTGTGTAGCTCCGTGAACCAGTTGCTTGTGTAACTCCGTGAACCAGTTGCTTGTGTAGCTTCGTGAACCAGTTGCTTGTGTAGCAAAACTAAACGGAAATTACAAAGAAAAATGAGTATTGCAAGTATACGCATAGAGCCTTTGGGCAAGGATAATTTCGACACGTGGAAAATACAAATGCAGGCCCTGTTAGTCAAGAACGACTCGTGGAAATATGTGAACGGGACTCATTTAAAACCCGAAACAAATATCACGCAATGGATAAACGAAGATGCAAAGGCTAAGTCCGATCTCATTTTAGCCATGTCAACATCGGAACTAAGGCATACAAGAAACTTCGAAACTTCAAACGATGTATGGAAGAAGCTGCATAGCACTTACCAGTCAACGGGACCAGCCCGTAAAGCCGCACTGTTGAAATCACTGATCCTACTAAAAATGAATGCAGGCGGAGACATGAGAAGCCACATAGATATGTTTTCCGATTTAGTAGACAAAATAAACGAAGTTGATCTCATGAATATTGCCGATCTGTTAACAATTTTGCTACTGTACAGTATCCCTGAAAAATATGAACAGTTTCGAATCGCGATTGAAACGCAGGAAAACTTAATCTCAACGGAGGCACATAAAATAAAGTTATTAGACGAATACGAGGCGAGAAACAGAAATCAAAGCGAGTCGACGCCCGGAGCATTATTGGCACACAAGAAGTATAATAACAGCAATCCGCAAGAATCAGGCACTAATAGAAAGTTTAAGTTTAGATGTTACAACTACGGAAAAGTCGGTCACCGTGCAGCTGAGTGCAGGTCGAAGCCAATAAAGAACCAGAATGATAGCATGTACGAAAACGCAGCTCATCATACAAGCAGTGATTGCAGTAGCTGGTGTCTAGACTCTGGAGCAACGTCACACATGTGCTCACAACAAAATATGTTCGTGAATCTTGAGCATGCAGAAGGCCCGAAACTCAAACTGGCAAATGATGAGGCCACAGACATAAAAGGATATGGATCCGTGCAGTTCTCGCCAAACAAAAAGTTCACCGCCAGCCTGAAGAACACGCTCTATGTGCCGGACTTAAGGACCAATCTCTTATCGGTCTCAAAAATACCTATGTGATCACGGCTTCAATATTGTTTTCAAGAAGGAGAAAGCTGAAATAATTAGAGCTACAGGAGGAGAAATAGTGTTCACCGTTCCTCGCAAATTGGACTTATACCAGTTACAAGAAAAACTCGAATGCAGCCAGATCACTGAAGGTAAGCAAAACAGTATCAAAGAATGGCATGAACGTTTCGGCCACCTCAATGAGCCGGACCTAAAAGAACTAATAAGAAAAGGTAAAGTACAAGGAGCCAAAGTAAACCTCAAGGAGACTCTTCCAATTTGCGAAGTATGTATCAAGGGGAAGCAGTCCCAAAAGCCGTTCCCAGTATCAAATTCAAGAGCAGGAGACGTACATACTAGAATTAGTCCACAGCGACGTATGCGGTCCCATGCGTACAAATAGCCACGGCGGCAGCCGCTATTTTTTGACATTCATCGATGATTTCTCGAAATGGTGCGAGCTCTATACGATCAAAAGAAAGTCTGAGGTGTTCCAGAAATTTAAGGAATTCAAAAACTATGTTGAACGGCGAACTGGAAAGAAGATCAAAACAATCAGGTCAGATAACGGTACAGAATACACTAATAATGAGTTCAAAAGTTATCTTGCAGCCCAAGGAATAAAGCACGAGTATTCCGTAGAATATACTCCTCAACAAAATGGTACAGCCGAACGTAAGAACCGGACCCTTGTTGAAATGGCTCGCTGCCTGATGTTGCAGGCCGCACTTCCTCCGAGCTACTGGGCTGAAGCAGTAAACACAGCAAATTATATAAGAAACAGATGTCCTTCAAGGAGCCTATGTGGAGAAACGCCCTTTAAGCTGTGGAACAATCGCGTCCCAATTGTAATGCATATGCAAAAATTTGGTCAAATTGCATATACACTGGACAAACGATCGAAAAGCAAGTTCAGCCCAAAATCCAAGAAATGTGTATTCGTTGGATACTGCACCGATGCCAAAGCTTATAGGCTGTACGATGTGGAAAATCAAATGTTAATCAAAAGCCGAGACGTCGTTTTCACAAATCTATTTGGACACGAGTATAAGTTCGAAGAGTTCATTGAACCTCAGATTGATGTCAACATTGAGCCGGTAGCAGAAAATCAACCAGAAAGTGACCAAGATGACAACGAAAGCATCCAACCAGAAGATCCTGAGTCAGAGGACAATGAGCCAGACGATAGACAGCGAGTAAAACGTGGTCGTGGAAGGCCAAGGAAGCAGTTAACAGGTAAATCAGGAAAACCCAGATTAATTTACAATCAAATACTTGCAGACCAGATCAACACACCTAATCAGCAGTTTGTGTCCGACCAAGAAGATGTTTTCTACGAAGCTACTTCACTTGCAACGAACCCGAAGGAACTAACTGCGAGCGCAGCACTTAAAAGGTACAAATGCCATCGAATGGAAGGAGGCATTAATGAACGAGTACAGGTCATTGAAAATGAACAATACCTGGGAAGTTGTTGATCGCCAGAAAAACCAAAGGGTTATCGAAACGAAATGGGTCCTTCGAACAAAGTATTTACCTGACGGAAGGGTAAATTGCCGTAAAGCTCGCCTGGTTGCTAAAGGATTCACCCAACGCGAAGGAATTGACTACGATGAGACCTACTCACCAGTGTCCAGAATGAGCTCGATTCGAATTGTAATAGCACTAGCTGCGGAACTCGGACTGGATCTTCATCAATTTGACTTCAACAGCGCCTATTTGAATGGAGAAATTGAGAATATGTTGCAGACATTCTCAAACGGTTCAATATGGAGAATTGTAAGCCCGTAAACACACCGATCAACACGAATGAGAAATTGTCAACCGAAATGTGTCCAAAAACCGAAAACCAGAAAGAAGAAGTTTCCAACGTGCCGTATCAGAGTTTAATAGGAGCCCTTATGTGGTTGGCAGTATCAACGCGCCCTGATATTGCATTTGTAGTGAGTGCCCTGAGTCAATACAATACAAACTTTGGAAAACAACACTGGATTGCTGCGAAAAGGGTATTACGTTATCTAAAAGGTACTCAGAACTATTGCCTGGTTTACAAACGAAGTGGCAAACCCCTTGTAGGCTACACCGATGCTGACTGGGCCGCAAACATTGACGATCGCAGATCTTTTTCAGGTTTTGCTTTTAAGTTCGCAGGTGCAGCAATATCCTGGGAATGCCGGAAGCAACGGACGGTTGCATTATCGAGTACAGAAGCAGAGTACATGGCTCTGTCCTACTCCTCAAAGGAAGCTGTTCATCTCAGAAGCTTTCTACAAGAAATTTTGGGCCAACTGAAGACGACCATCATCTACAATGACAATCAAGGAGCTGGCCAACTTACGCGCAACCTCGTGTTCCACAAACGCACCAAGCATGTTGACATCCGCCACCATTTCATCCGAGAGCTGGTTGACGAAGGAACTATTTCAGTAAACTACATTCCAACGACCGAGATGCCAGCAGACATATTGACAAAGGGACTCAGCGCTTCAAAACACAATACCTGCAAGACGGCCTTGGGTATGCGTCTAGTCGATCAACACCTTACTAATTGAGGGGAAGTATTGGAAATGCAATTGGCACGGTATCGCATACCGAACTATCGATAGTAAAGTCTAATGTACCTTCTCTAACGATCGTACTGCCTCCTTCTTCTTCCTTCCACCTCTATCGCCAACAGATGTGTAAAGCTTAATCTCTGTATCAATTATCTCTGTAATAAAACTATTCTACTCAAGCTAAATTACAACACTTCGCAAGCTTAGCATAGTCTTTAATAAAGCGACGATAAAACCCTGACAGTCCTAAAAAGGAACGAAGATCTTTGAGTGTCTTTGGTTCGGGGTATTCGACGATTGCTCTCACTTTTTCCGGGTTTTTCTTAATTCCGGTATCTGCTACTAAAAATCCCAAAAATTCAACTTCTTTTTTAAAAAATTCGCATTTATCTAATTGGATTCTCATGTTTGCATTTTCAAGAATTTTGAATATAATTTCTATGTCTTTTAGATGATTTTCTTCGCTTTTACTGAATATAATAATGTCGTCAATGTAGACGAAACACCTAATTCCTATGTGTTCCCTAAGAATGTCATCTAGCGTTCGTTGGAAAATAGAAGGGGCATTTTTGAGTCCAAACGGGAGTTTGGTAAACTCATATTTGCCTTGATTTACTGAAAATGCTGTTTTTTTTTATATCTGATTGTCTGAGTGGGACTTGGTGAAATCCACTTTTAAGGTCTAAAACAGAAAAAAAATTATTTTGTCCAAGTTGTACCAGTACGTTGTTAATGTCCGGTATAGGATATCTGTCTGCGATAGTAACCAAGTTAAGCTTCTATATTCTATTACCATTCTATGTTTTTTCTGTCCGGAGGCATCTATTTTTTCGGTACAATCCATATTGGAGAATTATACGGGGATCTCGAGCGTCTAATCACGCCGTTATCGAGTAGCTTTTGCATTTGCTACTCAGCTTCTGGCCTAAGAGCTTCTGGGTATGGGTAGTGCCTCGAGTATATTGGACTTTCGTTCGTACTTCTTATAATAGCTTCTACTTTGGTAGTGTATGTCAGTTTCTCGTCTGGGTCGCCACATAAATTTGGGAATTTTAAGCAAATAATTTTTAAATTATTCTTTTGCGTTGTATGCTCTATTCGAATATCTAAATTGTTGACTTCGTGAGAAGCAGTGGCGTAACTAAGGGTGGCGTGGCCAATGCACGGGCCCCCGACCAGGGGCCCCGGCTAGGGCTGCTGCTCGTTTTTGTTCTATGTGTTGTAAGAACCTGTTTATTTTATTTGAATTGATAATATAAATATCATTTTTAAGTTCTGCATCTATATAAATGTATACAGTGTCCTAACTACTTTAAGGTTTTTAAATGACAGGGCCCATCAAAAAATTTGCCCGGGCCCGGGTTAGTCGCACTGGTGAGAAGCTTTCTGTTTTATTTTGATTCTTTGTTTGTTTTTAATTGAAATGTAACCTTCTTGTAAATTTATTTGAGCTTTGATTTCGCGAAGTGTATCATTTCCTATGATCGCATCGAAAGATTTTAACGAGGGTAGTAAAAAAATTTAACAAATCTATCTTTTAAATCGAATGGGTTGGCAATTGTGTGGTGTGTGATTTGAACATCTCCGGCTATGGAGCTTACATGAAAAAATTTTGTATTATTTATTGGTTTTTTTACTAATCGTGGTTGAATGTAATTTTTATTAGAGCCGGTATCTATTAAAATTTTTATCATCTCTCCATCACCGATTTTACATAGAAAGTATACCTTACTATGAAGAGGATTCTACTCTACAAAATGAAGGCCAGTATATTTGGTTTCCTCTGTTTCTTGTTCGAAATCTGGAATTTCCGCATAGTATTCGGCTGTTGTCTCGTCAGTTTCCGTTAATTGGTCGGTGATTTCTAATGGGTGTTCTTGTTCAGTGCTTATGTAAAAATTTCTTTGTCTTTTATCTGCCAGTCCGCTTATTTGAGGTGGTGGTCGTTTTCCCTGCAGTCCCTTATTTGGTCTGTGCATATAATTTATTTGTCTTGTCTGTAAACTTTTATCTACATATATCCATAGGTTCTGGCTTAGGCTGAGGCTTTGGAGCCAATGGACGTGGTGGTTGTATTGCTGGGTAAGCAGAATATTGTTGATGATGTCCACTAAATTGCACTTGCTGCTGTGCAAAATGGGGTGTCGTTTTCGGGGTCTGTGGTATGTGAGATAAATGGTTGTCTGGCTGCATTGGATGGTTGCTTGTACGAATTTCTTTGTAAGGCGGTCCTCTAGTAGGCCCCTCAAATTGTCTTGAATTGTTTTGATAATTATTGGCGTAATTAATTCTGAAATTTTGATGTTCTAGTCTTTTGCATAGTTGGAGTGCAGATGGAAGATCTGCTGGCTCTTTGGTACCTAGCAGTCTGGGCAAGTCGCCGTTAAGACCTCTGATAAATGTATCAAGCGCCTTGTCTCTGTAAGACTTGGCGAAAAGATCAATTTATTCTCTTCCCATTTCCATGCATGAAATTTTGTTCAAGATGAGTGATAAGTGGGTATGGACCTGTTGGTAGAAATCTGCTGTGGTTCGATTACCCTGTACTGAAGAAGTCATTTGATATTCTAGTGTCGTAACGTCTCGCTACAAAATACTGCAAATGAAAGGACTGAAGGAGAACAAAACATTGTTGGTGACCAATTTGGAAACTGCGATATTGTGCTCAAACGTCGCGATACTGGGCAGAAATCACGACATTGAGATGAATGAGGAGATACATAATCGGGCTTTACTCTTGATCGAAGATATGTGTTACCTCATGTGTGGTAATTTATTAATCAGGTAAGGAATGCCAGCGCCAAATTAATCGAGAATTAGAACGGGAACGTGAATATGATCACCAGGAATTAAATTGATTAGTTCAAACGAATGTTCCCCCTGTTGAATTCCCAACAAAAGAAAGTTTATGATACTTTAATGAAGGCAATCGATGAAGAAAATGGTGGTTTATATTTCCTAGATGCCCCTGGTGGAACTGGCAAGACATTACTCATGTCATTAGCTTTAGCCACTGTTCGGGCGAGATCCAACATAGCTGTTGCAGTTGCTTCTTCTGGAATAGCAGCCATATTGTTAGAAAGATGCCAAACGGCTCATTCAGCATTAAAATTACCGTTAAATCTTCAAATTATTGAAGAACCAACGTGTAATATTGCAAAACACTCAGCAATGGCCAAAGTTTTAATGGTATCGAAATAAAATTTTTCCTTTTCATATATAAAAAAAAAAATTTCTTTATCTTTTAAACACCAAACGAAATTTTACATAAAACTATCGCCATCTGGTGGCGGAACGGAGTTCGCCGGGTTTACTTGTTTTCAAATTGTTCAGGCCTCTCCCGCTCTCCCTCTCCCGGAGCTTCTCCCCACACCGCATTCTCGCCTAGCTTAGAATAGCATAAGTTAGTTCCAAAATCGTCAAACGTGTGAATAAACGCCCGGCCGGTCCGCGCCATTACGAAGTTTAAAGTCTTTACTTTTCGCGATCGCCGAGTGGTTTTCTTTCTCACACCCCACAGCTTAACACCGCCAGCTGTCGCTGCCCACCAGGAGTTTTGCTGCCTTCAGTCGGACGCCCCAGCACAACACAAATAACACTGTGCGACAAAATTTAACAAAATCTTTGTTTAAGTTACTTTTTTGATTGTTTTCGGTTAAGGGACATAAGTTATGCACAAAAATATTTATGCCACCTTCTAAGTGATAGGATTTCTTTTTTTATGATAAATTTTATGAAATTATTATTATGAAAATATTTAACACAAAATATTATTTTTTTTTTACTTCCAATAAACTATTATTTTTTTTAAAAGTGAAATTTTTTTCTGATTTTTTTGTCTTTTCAGAGGTATCCTCGCGTAACAAGTTCCATACAAAGTCGCCCAGCGTATAGAGCTGGGAGAAAAAAATTTTAAAGCATTGTGATAAAAGCCTAACGGTATATTTGCTTAATACATTTTAATTAATAGATATTGAACTTGCATTAACGCTTATAACGGTGAAAAAAAATTTTCCCAAATATGAATATAAAGGGGGGAAAAAAACAAATATTTTCCCAATATATGATTATAAGGTTGTAAAAAAAAAACACGCGTTTTTGGGACATTTGAGTGTGCGTAGAAGCTGATTGGCTATTGATATTAACAAATCCACAAACTTGTATTCTTATTTTGATTAGTAGAAGTGAAAAAAAAAAAATCAACTTAAACATTTTTTTGTCGCACAGTGTAATTAAAGACTTTGAATTTGCAATTAAATTGTCATCTTTATACGGAGTAAGGTCTTAACATTTTTTTTTTCGATTTTTTTTTATTTTTTTTCTAAGCGAGCAATATGTCGAAAACATTGTGTAAAAATGTTGAGTCCATTAGAGTCAAACTAACGGAGTTACAGCGTTTTAAACGACCGAATTTGGCCGTATTTTAACGTATAACAAGAAAGGAAGCATTCTTTGGCAGATATAAAACTAACTAAAAAAAATTATAAAAGGCTCCGAATACTAAAGTTAAACGTTCGAGATGTGCGGCTTATAGCGAAAAAGGCCTCCAATTTAACCATGTCCTACGCCGGTTTGGCTGATTATGAGGGCAACAAAGTGTCTAAAGCCACCATTTGGCGGACTTTTCACACTTGCCATCAAAAATGGCAAGGGTTCCAGGAATTACAGAGATCCATCGGCAGGCACGGCTCAATTTTGCAGAAGAACATTTTGCAACGAATGGGCGCGCAGTTATCTATTCTAAAAGACTTCTGATAAGCTTTATTTTAATATTTTTTAATGTTTAGATAAAATTTTCCGATGAAAAAAAACCTAATTTGGATGGTCCTGATGGGCTCAACTTTTATAAGCGTGACCTGCTGAAGGAGCCCCAATATTTCTCAACGCGCAATTTCGGTGGACGCTCAGTTATGGTTTGGGCTACATTCAATGCGCCTGAAACTGCTGATTTACAGTTTATAACTGGTCGAATGAACAGTGCTAGATATATCGAAGTATTGGAGAAGGGTTTGCTACCCTATTTGGAACAAAATAGGGAACAGCAGCTTATATTTCAACAAGATAATGCTCCAATACAAGTGAGTCGTTTGACCAGGTGCTTCTTGGAGGCGTCTTCCATCGAGGATATAAGAACAGAGCTAATAATTTTAAACAAAATTTAGCTTTCAATACTTTTTGGCTTCGCTAAGAGCTATCAACCAAAAAAGTTGCTAGGTGTCCTATCCAAATGAAACGAACTGTATATTTCATCATACGTGTATATTTCATCATATCGTGCAAGAACGCATTTTTCACATCAAGTTGTCTGGTGTATAAGATGTCTTGATTCACTGCTGATAGAAGAGCTCTCAAAGTTGTAAGGCGAGCTACAAGGGCATATGTTTCTTCGAAATCGAAGCCTTGTCTCTGCGCACAGCCCTTGACCGCTCAATCTTTTCATCAGCTTCTCTTTTGACTTTGAAGACCCACTTATAGCCAATCGCACTTTTTCCTTCCGGCAAGTCGACAATTTTCCAGGTCTGGTTTTCGGTGAGAGAGTTAATCACCTCCTTAACAGCTTTTTCCCAATTTTCCTTGTCGTCACGTATATGGATTTCCTAGTAGCTTCCAGAAAAATCATCGACAAGTGACTTTGTATTGAAGTACAGCGCAACATAGTCGTCCAGGTGTCGAGGTTTCAGTTTTCTTCTCTCACTTCTCCTCGGAGTATCCGTTAACATTTATTAATATTAGTATCCGTAATGTTAGGAAATTTCTTCTCAGTCATTTCTTCGGTCTTCTCTGGTAAGTATAATTGCACTGTGCGACAAAATTTAACAAAATCTTTGTTTAAGTTACTTGTTAAGTCATTTCATGAAGTCCTACTAATTAGATATATATTTATATGTAATTATAGTTAAACCAATACTCTTATGTTACGCTCGAATTGAAGTACTACTCTTAAGCTAACATTACGCTCTTTAATAGTCGCTCACTTGCATATTGAAATTCGCTCATTCTCCAATTATCTATTGTTATCTATGATTTGCATGCTTACATATACACGCGCAATTATGCCAGCGCTTAGCTTAAGAACAAATATGGAAAATTATAACGATCACTTGAGAAAAGAACTGAAACTGAAGCACACGCAAATTCATTACACTGTCTGTCCCGTCCGCTTACGCAAGTTGGCCTTCAATAATTTTATTGATCTTGTTGCTCTGAAGTTGCTTGTGGCACAGGGCCACGTTAGCAGTAGACCCCCTTTTGGATCTACATTTTTTTGGCGCCCCCCAGGTGGACAATTTTGCGAAGCGTTTTCGTTGGGACTTTGGTTGGACTTCGGAACTCTAATTGGACTTTGACTTGGATCTATTTGGGAAGTTGACGTTTTGGAAAATTTACATATGGATTTTACATTGGCTAGGAGTACACAGGTAACGAGTAAAAGTGAACTACGAGGCATATAGTGTGTGATTATTTAATAAATAAATTTGGTGATAAATATTGTGCGGCAAAAATAAAAGTTGTTCAAGCCTACGCGCATACACACATATGTACATGCACTAAAGCATAGAGTGGACCGTAGTTCACTTATCACTCGGTGTAAAAAACTTATATTATTCGAAACTCAACATTTCCGGCATATAAAATACAAACATAAATTTGGCAATATACAAATATTAAAATATAATTTTTGTGTGGTAACTTATTCGGATCACCCTAATTGATTTGCACAAGCCGCTGTTGAGCGCGAAAATTGTTGGTGTTTTCTTGTGCCTTACTTCCGTGGAAACCAGTAAAAGAAAAAAGAGGTCCCGTTGGAATTTATGCTAATAGAAAAGTGCGCATCGTTGTCGGTACAGTTATCAAATTTTGCTGTACAATTTTCTTCAGTTCTCTCTTTCGTCACTTGCGCTGCGTCGGCAGCGAACTTTCGTTTGTTGGTGCATTGACTTCGATTGTCTTTGCATTGTTCCCGTTTATTGCTGCTTGGGCAGTGAACTTTGGTTTGATTTGCGTTTGATTTTGTGTTACTTCTATCGCTGCTTGGGCAGTGAATTTGGATGCCCATCTCATATACACACATACATATATGTATATATATAGTGCGCGAATTGCTTAGTGGTATTCGGCCACTTTCGGTTTAAATTTTAACATCTCGCCATACACACATATATATATAGGGCGCGAAGAACTTAGTGGTATTCGACCGCCTTTGTTTGAATTTTAACAGCTCGACATATATACATACATATATAGTGCGTGTACTGCTTAGTGGTATTCGGCCACTTTTGGTTAAATATTTAAACATCTCGACACATATACATACATATATGTATATTGCGCGTATTACTTAGTGATATTCAGCCGCTTTAGTTGAAATTTTAACATCTCGCCATACACACACACATATATAGTCCGTATTACTTAGTGGTATTCAGCCGCTTTAGTTGAAATTTTAACATCTCGCCATACACACACACATATATAGTCCGTATTACCAAAGACTATAGAATATCAAGATGTTGCATGACCTCAAAAAAATCGTTCTATGGTGGGTCTTGATATGGAGACCCACATGACTTTGCACTTTTAAAGGCAGCTAAGACCATATACTCAATTAGTTCGCCGTGCTTCATGAAGCCCAGTGGTGTTGTGGTAGATGCTATGCCTCGTGTACATGAAGGCCCGGGTTCGTATCCCCGCCGAGCCCCCAGCCATATCATAAATTGTTTTTTTTCTTTTCTTTTTTTGTGTAAATTAATTAATTATTTTATTTTTACATTTTTTTTCAATTTTTTGCTTTTATAATTTTTTTTGCGTTCATACAAGTGGTGAACAGCCTGATACAATTATACAAGGTAGTCCACTCGGCAAAATCCATAGTCCCCTAATTTAACTTTGTCAAGTAAGTGTGAGTGAAACGGCTACATTGTGCTTCAGTTTGACAAGCAGGCACGCACTGAAAATAAGGGACCAAAACCGAACGACTTCGGCAAGCCGAGTGGACTACCTTGAATAATTGTATCATGGTGAGCAGCAAAATACCCTAACACGCGTATGTACACGCGCATGCGTGAAAATTTAACGACACAATTATCTGAATAAGGAACATTATTAATATTGCACCTATGAATTCTTTAATTTAATTATTATAAACGAAAAATTATGATTTAAATGAAAATTAAAGAAAATAAAATAATAATGCTTTACAAGTCTGATATAACCTTATACTATTGTAAAGTGTATAAAGCCCGATAAACTGAAAATTGCCAGCTGTGAACAAATTTCCAATTTGGGAACACGACGAATATTAAAAACGAAGACGAAAGCCGAAAGCAGCAGTTCGTCGTGTTTCTATTTTTAGATTTTCCCTTTTTACCCCGACCGACCGCATCATGAAGCTCGAAACAGAAACGAAAAATTTTTTGTATGGGATGCAACATCTTGATATTCTATAGTCTTTGGTATTACTTAGTGGTATTCAGCCGCTTTAGTTTAAATTTTAACATTTCGCCATACACACATACATATATCGTCCGTGTACTGCTTAGTGGTATTCGGCCACTTGGGTTTAAATTTTAACATCTCGTCACACACACGTACATACATAAATTGGCATAAGGCGTGTGCATCGCTTACTGGCATTTGACTATACTTGTTGCATCAATTCCTTTTTGTTTGTTTGTTTTTTTTTACATTTAATTTCGTTTGTATAATTGTTGGCTGCTATTGGAGCAGAGTTGTACAATTATGCCGGGTAAAAAAGGAAAAGGTCAAGACAAATCGCTAGGCGAAACAACTTTAGGTCGCCTTGATACATTGTTAGATCAGTATAAAAATGTTGTTGCTGATATTGAGCGTATTAAAACTACAGTTAAAAATTACTCAGGGTACGTTGACCCAATTGAAATTGATTGCCGATTGGAAATACTTGATCGATATGTTGGACAAGCCTTTAATATTCAACAGGATTTGGATGACATTAATACCGAGCTGGTTTCTCGAGCTGATCTAGAAGACTTATGTGCAACTACAAAGGCTCTGCTTAAAAGCAAAGGCACTAGTAATCACGTTATTAAAGACAATCATGCGAATTCAACCATGATAGGGTCAACTCTTGCTCAGAGCAAAAAACTGCCCCATATGAAACTGCCAAGGTTTGGTGGGGAGTATTCGGAATATAAAAATTTTATTGGACTGTTCGAAAACCTCGTTGAAAATGACCTTTCTCTTTCAAATGTTGAGAAATTTAACTATTTGTTGTCTTGCTTAGAGAAAGAGGCTTTGGGCACGGTGAAATCGTATCAAGTAACCGATGCTAATTACCCAAAAGCATTAGCTGCCTTAAAAAACGTTTACGATAATAGTTGCTTAATTGTGTTTGAGAGTATTTCAAAGTTATTCGACCTTCCAAAAATGCATGGAGCATCTGCGTCTTCACTGCGTTCGTTGATAGACACAGTAAGAGCGGTGTTGAGTCGTTGTTGTCTTTAGGAAATGACAAACAGATCTCCAACGCTATGCTAATACACTTAGTTATGGGCAAGGTGGATTCTACGACTAGGTCAAAATGGGAGGAGAATTTAGATTATACAAAATTGCCACTTTGGGATGATTGCGAAAAGGCCCTTAATAAAAGGTACCAGCACCTCTCTGCTGAAGAAAATTCTTCAGGTGGGGGGAGCTTCTCGAGCTCAAAAATATGAGCGCAATGGTGGAAAAAAGGGAGGAAAAACGTCGCTAACAGTGGCTAAGCCAAATGAACAGCATAATCCAAAATGCTCGTTTTGCAAATCGGAGGATCACTTCATTCAATCTTGTTCCTCCTTTGCTGCTATCCCATGCAATAATCGTTTTAAGTTTGTAAAATCGTTCCCCCTGTGTATAAATTGCCTACGAAAAGGCCACACAGTTACTACCTGCAAGTCGAGCACTTGCAGAGTCTGTTCAAAGCCGCATCATACTTTACTGCATAGGTATGCAACAGAATCTCAAGCTCCACCAGCACAAACTTCGACATCTAGTCAAGTGTCGTCCGCCAATCTCGCTGCTAGTGATTCTGACCAAGTCGTATTAGCCACCGCAGTTGTAAAAATAAAAGATCAGTTGGGATCTTACCATATGGCCAGAGCACTCTTAGACTCTGGGTCCCAGGTCAATTTTATTACCGAAAACCTGGCCAATATTTTGAAATTACCCAAATCGCGCAAAGATATAAATTTAGTAGGCATAGGCAAGACAAAATCGGCCATTCGGCATGCAGTTCAAACCGATATTGCCTCTCGTTTGAATTCCTTTGAAACGATGACTGAATTAAGTATATTAAAATCTATCACGTCCTATCAACCCGAAAGGCTTGTAGAAAATGTTGACATTCCAAGTCATATTGATCTCGCTGACCCCCTTTTTCATAAGCCGCAACGCGTAGACTTGCTGCTTGGGGCAGACGCTTTCTTCGATCTTCTTAAAGATGGGCGTCTGAGGTGTAAACAAGAGTCTTTAACTTTACGTGAAACAGTTTTTGGTTGGATCGTATCTGGTCGTTGTAAAGCCCCACCAGATGCAAATGCTTGCTCAACGACGTTATTAAGTACAACCGGTGAATCGTCGTTAGACTCAATTGTTAAAAAGTTCTGGGAGTTGGAGCAAGCTCCAAATACTGCGAATCCAAATTTATATACCCCAGAACAGCTACTTTGCGAGCAATCGTTCACTGAATCTGTGAACAGATTACCTTCGGGCAGGTTAAGTGTTAAATTGCCGTTTAAATCTAGTCCGACTTGTCTTGGCTCGTCCTTTGAGACAGCTAAGAGGCGATTTCTTGGCCTGGAGAGGCGAATGGAAAAACAAGCGGAAGTCCGAGACATGTATATTTCTTTTATGAAAGAATACATTTCTCTTGGTCATATGAGTGCAATCAGTAACACAGTCCCGAGTGAGCCACATTATTTTATCCCATACCAGTGTGTGCTCAGACCGCAAAGCTCTTCAACAAAGTTGCGAGTCGTCTTCGATGCGTCAAGCAAAACGTCATCACAAATGTCGCTTAATGACACGCTTATGGTTGGTCCAACGATCCAACCATCTCTCTACGCAACTTTGCTTCGTTTTCGATTGAATCCTTACGCAATTACTGCAGACATCACTAAGATGTACCGTCAAGTGGAAATTGACGAGACCCAGAGATGTTTTCAATTAATCCTCTGAAGAGAAAACCCGAAAGATCAATTACAAATATATCAATTGAACACGGTTACATACGGCACTGCGTCAGCACCTTTTTTGGCTATCCGGTGCCTGAAATATTTGAGTGAAATACACGCAACATCGCATAAATTAGCATCGAAATCACTTGCGAATGATTTTTATGTCGATGATTTATTAGCGGGAGCAGAAACGCCAGAGGAATTAGGGCTATTGCAGCAGGAGTTGGACTCTGTATTAAAACCATTTGGATTTGGTTTAGCCAAATGGTCTTCCAACTGCCAACAATTCCAAGTTTCTGATGCGTCCATTACAATTGGGTCGCAAGAAGACACCAAAACTTTGGGTTTGATTTGGAATCCCAGAAGTGATGTGTTCAAATACTCCGCAGACCATCTTTCACTCGATTTTGTGCCGACTAAGAGGTCTATTCTATCGTTTGTAGCACGTTTGTATGACCCACTTGGATTATGCGTCAAAGAGAGCATACGGCTGCTGCATTTATGTCAGAGTGGAGCATCGGAAGGGAACGTTTACCCGATTGCTCACAGCCAAGTCGAGAGTGGCACCTCTCAAAACCAAGTCTGTGCCTCGGTTGGAACTATGCGCTGCTCACTTACTGGCGAAGCTATGGAGTGAAATCAGGGATCTGTTGAACTCACCAGTGGACGACGTTTTTTTGTGGTCGGACTCTGAGGTGGTGCTGTATTGGATCAAGAAGCACCCATCATACCTAAATACATTTGTTGAGAATCGTGTAGCAGAAATTCAAGAATTGACTTCACAAGCTGTCTGGCGTCATGTGCCTACCAACGCGAATCCAGCGGACATCCTTTCACGTGGTTGCTCAACTAGTGAGCTCAGGGAATCAATCTGGTTTACGGGCCCAAACTTCTTACAGGAAAATAGAACCTCTTGGCCAGTAAACTACCACCTAGAATCCCCCAACGATCTCTCTGTGCTAGAGATGCGGAAGGATGCCACGGTCTTGATCGCGGCCGATGCACTGGATAATCCTTTTTGGACCTCGTTGACAAATCTTCGTCATATTTGAAAATTCTGCGCATCGTATCATATATGCTCCGATTTATCAATGGAAAATCGCACAAACAGACTTCACTCGTGCCATCAGCGGAAGAACTGAGTTCAGCATTTTTAGCAGTGGTGTCCGCATTGCAGCGAATCGAGTTCGCAAATGAAATTGCGAGGCTAAATAAATCCTTGACGTTACAACCTAGTTTTCAGAAACTTAATACATTCTTGTATCCTCATCAAGATGGCAAGCATGTGTGGTGGCTGCTTAGAGTCGGCGGTCGTTTGTTAAAAGCTCCTGTGCCACACAATGCTAAGTTCCCGTTGCTCATGCCAAAAGATAACCGGTTCGTTAAAATATACCTGCAATACTTGCATCGTTCGAATTGTCATGCAGGTCCACGTGCTTTGATGGCTATTCTTCGGCAGCAAATTTGGTTGGTAAACGCTCGTCAAGCGTGTAATAGCATTGTACGGCAGTGTGTACATTGTTTTCGCTATAAGCCAGTCTTGGCAACCCAAATAATGGGAAATTTACCTGCTGATCGTCTTCACGGCAACAGACCGTTCGAAGTCAGTAGAGTGGACTTTTGTGGTCCAATTTTCGTAACCTTAGGAATTAGAGGGAAGTCAGCGGTAAAGATGTATATTGCCATATTTGTTTGTTTTTCCTCTAAAGCTGTTCACATAGAACTTGTTTCAGACCTCACATCTAAATCATTTATTATGTGTTTGTCTAGGTTTGTTGGCCGGCGTGGACGTGTCCAGAAAATTTTCTGCGACAATGCCACCAATTTTGTCGGTGCTTCCCGAATGCTGCAGGAGTTCAGGGACCATTTCATTGCCAACCAGGATGCCATAACAGAGTTCGCAGCCACGCGTGGGATCACCTTCTCGTTCATCCCGCCCCGAGCGCCCCATTTTGGCGGCCTATGGGAGGCGGCCGTGAAATCAGCAAAGGGATTAATGGTCAAGGCCGTGGGCAGCGCAGTGCTCCGACAGGACGAGTTGAACACCGTCTTGGTAGAAGTCGAAGCCATTCTCAATTCGAGGCCCATCGTCGTGGACAGCTCCAACCCAAACGACGGCGAAGCAGTAACCCCAGCTCATCTGCTGGTCGGAACAACGCTCGTTGCGCTGCCATTCGTGTCAAGTCAGCCAGTAACAGACGACAAACTGAGCTACTTGAAGAGATGGCAACTGATATCCGCCGTCAAGCAACGGTTTTGGGTAGACTGGCAAAAAGACTACGTCCTGAGCCTGCAACAACGACAGAAGTGGCTAAGCGAGAGCCACAATATACAAATCGGAACAATCGTCGTGGTCCACGAGGACAACAGTCCGCCTCAGCAGTGGCTAATGGGAGTCATCGAGGAGGTCATCAAAGGCGAGGATGGAAAAGTTCGCGTGGCGGTCGTCAGAACTAAATCTGGCGTTTTTAAGCGATCAATACGTCGATTAGCTCCTTTGCCTGTAAATGAATTTTGAAGCCTTGCAGCCGTTCAACGCGGCCGATGTTAAGTCATTTCATGAAGTCCTACTAATTAGATATATATTTATATGTAATTATAGTTAAACCAATACTTTTATGTTACGCTCGAATTGAAGTACTACTCTTAAGCTAACATTACGCTCTTTAATAGTCGCTCACTTGCATATTGAAATTCGCTCATTCTCCAATTATCTATTGTTATCTATGATTTGCATGCTTACATATACACGCGCAATTATGCCAGCGCTTAGCTTAAGAACAAATATGGAAAATTATAACGATCACTTGAGAAAAGAACTGAAACTGAAGCACACGCAAATTCATTACACTGTCTGTCCCGTCCGCTAACGCAAGTTGGCCTTCAATAATTTTATTGATCTTGTTGCTCTGAAGTTGCTTGTGGCACAGGGCCACGTTAGCAGTAGACCCCCTTTTGGATCTACATTACTTTTTTGATTGTTTTCGGTTAAGGTGCATAAATTATGTACAAAAATATCTATGCTACCTTTTAAGTGATACGATTTCTTTTTTCATGGTAATTTTTATGAAATTATTATTATGAAAATAATTAACACAAAATATTATTTTTTATTTTTACTTTCAATAAACTATTGGGTTGGCAAGAAATGTCGTTTTTTTTAGTAATCGTTTTTAATCTAATTTATTTACGACTAATCGAGCACCAGGGTCACACTTTTTAGTATCTTTTTAAAGATTATTGTCTTAGGTACTATCGTTGAAAATTTGGTAATTATTCGATAACATTTGTGGAAGCTATAGCAAATTAAACATGGAGGACCAAAGTGAGCATTTTCGGCATATTTTGCTTTTTTACTTCCGAAAAGGAAAAAAAGTGGTCGAAGCTCGCGAAAAATTGTGCGAAGTATGTGGTAAAGATGCCATAAGATCGCCAATGTCAGCGCTGGTTTGCCAAATTCAGGCTTGGAGATTTTTGAGTTAAAAACGCCCCATGTTCTGGTCGACCATCGGCCGTTTTTGACGAACAAATTCAGGCTTTGCTGGATGAAAACCGGAGTTATTCATCGCGGGAGATGTCAGAGAAGCTCACTGTGTCGGATTCAACGGTTGAAAACCATTTGAAGAAACTTGGCAAGCTCGATGTTTGGGTTCCGCATAACTTAAAGGAAATTCACCTAACTAAGCGTATCAACATCTGCTATTCTCTGCTGCAACGCATTAAAAACGATCCTTTTTTGAAGCGGATCATTACTGGCGACGAAAAGTGGGTTGTTAACAATAATGTCCAACGAAAAAGATCATGGAGCAAGAAAGATGAGCCAGCCCAAGCCACATCAAAGGCCGATATCCATCAGAGGAAAGTTATGCTGTCTGTTTGGTGGAATTGGAAGGGTGTAGTGCACTTTGAGCTGCTGGGACGGAATGAAACCATCAATTCAGATGTGTACTGTCGCCAGCTATTCGATTTGGCGGAAAAAATTAAAGAAAAGGAGCCGGCACTAGCTAATCGCAAGGGTATAGTCTTTCACCATGACAACGCTAGGCCCCACACATCTTTGGTAACTCGGCAAAAATTAACGGAGCTGAATTGGGAAGTGCTACCACATCCACCTTATAGTCCGGACTTAGCACCGTCAGATTACCATTTGTTTCGCTCTCTTCAAAACTCTTTGAGTGGTAAAAACTTTGATTCAGATGAGGCTGTCGAAAACCACTTGTCTCGATTCTTTAGTGGAAAAGACCAAAAGTTCTTCGAGCGCGCAATTATGCAGCTGCCCGAAAGATTGTCATTAGTGGTCGAACAAAACGGCCAATACATAATTGAATTATTATATGTCCTGATATAAATAAATCATCTTTGAAAATATTGAAAAAAAACGACATGACTTTCTTGCCAACCCAATATTATTTTTTTAAAATAGTTTTTTTTTCCTGATTTTTTGGCTTTTTCAGAGGTATCCTCGCGTAACAAGTTCCATACGTAGTCGCCCAGAGTATGGAGCTGGGAGAAAAAAATTTTAAAGCATTGTGATAAAAGCCTAACGGTATATTTGCTTAATACATTTTAATTATTAGATATTGAACTTGCATAAACGCTTATAAAGGTGAAAAAATATTTTCCCATTATGTGATTATAAGGCTGTGAAATATGCAAAAACGCGTGTTTTTGGGACATTTGAGTGAGCGTATAAGCTGATTAGCTATTGATATTAACAAATCCACAAACTCATATTCTTATATTGATTAGTAGAAGTGAAAAATAAGAAAAAATCAACTTAAACATTTTTTGTCGCACAGTGTTATTCTTCCTTTCCTTTTTTTTTGGGACGGTTCTTCGGGTACACCTTCCGTTGCGGTTTCCTCGACGTCGTGGTTCAGCTAGTCGGCAGAGTTCGTTTCCTTAAACTGAAATCTTGTCTCCTCAAAAATGACATATCTGCCCATGATTATTTTTTATTCCTGTGGACATCAGAGCTTGTAGCCTTTCGGACAACACCCTATCATCCTGTATCGTAGAGACTGCGAGTTGAATTTTCATCCTACGACCTGTTTGGTCACCTTCAAGAAAGCGACGCATCCAAATATTCGGAGTTTTCCAGGTTAGGTTTGCCGCCGTACCCAACCCTGTGATTGGGCTGCGGTTGGTGAGAAGCTTTTACTAAGCTTGGAGTGCAAGATCATACATCTGGCTCTTTAAACAATTGCCCTGTTCATTCTCTCTGCGGGGCCGTTCTGCTCAGGCGTTTATCTCATTGTATATTTCCCCTGTGTTCCCCTTTCTTCGTAAAACGTCTTCACTTCTTTTTTAGATGAACTCTCTGGCATTGTCGCACTTTTGGTTTGAAGTGTGCTAAAGCCATGCCCTCATATGCTTTGATGTATCGAAAGGCTTTTGAATTTGTTCGAAGAGATCCGTGTGTACAAGTTGAATTGGTCTTTTGGCTCTTTGACGTGTCTGGCTGTGGGGTAATTTTACTTTTTTGCCTTCGACACATATATCAAAAATTTAAGGTGCTTCCGGAATTCGATTGAGCTATATTCCATCCGCCCCTTTGGGTAATCGTTTCAGGCTATCATAGTTTAAATGACCAAGACTTCTATGGCACAGCTGCAGAGTTTTCTTTTTCTGACAGAAATTTGCCTCAGTCATTTTCCTCCTGAGTTCCAGACTGTAAAAGGATGTCTCTCCCTCTTGGCAACTGCTGCAACTCGTCCATTCTTCCTAATGATTCCGGCTCCTCCTCCTCCTGAAAGTAGATTGTGGCTTAGTCCTGGTACCGATAGCACGTGTTCGATGCGAATACCAATATCCTGTCCATTCACGACGACGATGACTTCCAGGTCCCCAACATGACTTCAGCGACGTCTTTGCCTTAGCAACGTTGGTCAGTACAGGTTGTTCCAATTTCCTTGTGTTGATTAACTCCTCCTTCAGGTAAAAGTGAACTGTCAATGACAACAGACATGTTTTTATATCACTCCGCCGAGTAACTAAAAACACTTCGAAAATAACAGATTTTTATTTCGCGAAAAGACCCCACCACCACCGGCTTCTATGGGAGACGCACCAACAACAAGCAGTGCTTCAATTTCTGCTACCTCAGCAAAAGTAACAACACCAACTAAAGCAACGACCAATATTGCGAAAACGGTGTCAACGGCTCCACCGCCAACTGCAACGGCAACAAAATCCGTACGCTTTGATAAGCAACAAGCGGTTCCGGCCATACAGACCGGTATGGATCGCTACATCCAGATAAAGCGTAAGCTTAGTCCGCAAAACACGGTTGGTAACAAACCAAAGATCAACCGTACAATCCAAACCAAAGAAAAAACCAGGATTTCCAACAACAGCAAAAGATTTTCCCTCTGAGCAGATGGTGAGAACCAAGCTGAGCCGGAGCAAGTGACTTAAAAGAAACCAAAACCTGCACCTATTTATATTAGGGAAAAAAGCTTAAACGCCCTGGTCAACAAAATTGTTGCGCTGGTCGGCGACGAAAATTTTCATGTTGTTCCGTTGTTAAAGGGAACATCCACGAAACTAAAGTTCAAATATGAAGAACACTTCCGAGCTGTGGAAACAAAAAGAACTTTTACACCCACCAACTAAAAAGCAGTCGGCCCCCCTTAGATATTCGAAGCCCTTAAAGACAAGGGGTTTTCTGCTAAGAATGTTAGCAACATTATCAACAAAAATAAAAAGCCGCAACCACTCTTTAAGGTCGAGCTCGAGCCAGATAGCAAAACCCTAAAGAAAAATGAAGTGCACCCGATCTACAAGCTGCAGTTCTTACTGTACCGGAGGATCACAGTGGAAGAACCACACAAACGGAACGGCCCAGTGCAATGTACAAATTGTCAGGAGTTTGGGCACACCAGGACATACTGCACACTTCGGTCAGTTTGTATAGTCTGCGGAGACTTCCACAATTTCGCACACTGCCCTGCTAACAAATAAGATCCCCATACAAAGAAATGTGGGAACTGCGGAGGAAACCATACGGCAAACTACAGAGGCTGTTTGGTCGACAAGGAGCTAAAGAGTCGCGTGCGACGAGCGACAGCTACGCGTCAACAAAATACACAAAATGTGTATTTTAAATCAAAATCTACGCCAGACATATTTTTCGCCAAGGCAGCCAGATCATCTTTCGGTCAGCTCAGTACCAGCAGTGGCATCTCCTACGCTGATGCACTACGAACGGGTATGGAAAATCCACCCACGCCACACTCACAAAACGCTCATCAGGTCCCAGTCCAGCCACAAAGCAATTTGGAAACTATGATGTTTATTATGCAACAAAGTATGATGGAGTTCATGTCATTTATGAAAGCGACCATGCAAACGCTGGTCCAGAATCAGAATATGGTGATGCAGCTGCTTGTATCACATCATTCCAAATAATCAATGACCAATCTACTCCATGTGGAATGCCAACGGCATTTCACGGCATAAACTGGAAATAACACAATTCCTAAATGTAAATCACATCGACGCCATGCTGCTGGTTGAAACCCATCTCACAAGCAGATATAACTTCCATATACATTATACCTTCTACCGCACAGATCATCATGGTAAAGCCCACGGCGGCACCGGCATCTTCATTAGAGAACGCATCAAACTCAATTTTCACCAAAGGTTTGCAACAAATTACTTGCAACCCACGTCCATAAAAGTGCAGTCAGGAAACGACAACCTTTGCATCGCCGCTGTCTACTGCCCACCTCGCTTTACAATCTCTGAAGGTCAATTCATGGATTTCTACAACTCATTTGGGGATCGCTTCATAGCTGCTGTAGATT